ATATATATATATATATATATATATATATATATATATATATATATATATATATATATATATATATATATATATATATATATATATATATATATATATATATATATATATATATATATATATATATATATATATATATATATATATATATATATATATATATATATATATATATATATATATATATATATATATATATATATATATATATATATATATATATATATATATATATATATATATATATATATATATATATATATATATATATATATATATATATATATATATATATATATATATATATATATATATATATATATATATATATATATATATATATATATATATATATATATATATATATATATATATATATATATATATATATATATATATATATATATATATATATATATATATATATATATATATATATATATATATATATATATATATATATATATATATATATATATATATATATATATATATATATATATATATATATATATATATATATATATATATATATATATATATATATATATATATATATATATATATATATATATATATATATATATATATATATATATATATATATATATATATATATATATATATATATATATATATATATATATATATATATATATATATATATATATATATATATATATATATATATATATATATATATATATATATATATATATATATATATATATATATATATATATATATATATATATATATATATATATATATATATATATATATATATATATATATATATATATATATATATATATATATATATATATATATATATATATATATATATATATATATATATATATATATATATATATATATATATATATATATATATATATATATATATATATATATATATATATATATATATATATATATATATATATATATATATATATATATATATATATATATATATATATATATATATATATATATATATATATATATATATATATATATATATATATATATATATATATATATATATATATATATATATATATATATATATATATATATATATATATATATATATATATATATATATATATATATATATATATATATATATATATATATATATATATATATATATATATATATATATATATATATATATATATATATATATATATATATATATATATATATATATATATATATATATATATATATATATATATATATATATATATATATATATATATATATATATATATATATATATATATATATATATATATATATATATATATATATATATATATATATATATATATATATATATATATATATATATATATATATATATATATATATATATATATATATATATATATATATATATATATATATATATATATATATATATATATATATATATATATATATATATATATATATATATATATATATATATATATATATATATATATATATATATATATATATATATATATATATATATATATATATAACAGATTCATCCCATCATTATTATATTATAATGTAATATATTACATCTTTAAATTTTACCCTGGACCACAAAACCACTCATAAGGGTCATTTTTTAAAGATGAGAAGATTTGAAGATTTTGATTTGATTTTTGGCATAAAAGTAAAATCAATTTTAAGTTTGACCCATACAATGTATTGTTGGCTATTGCTACAAATATACCCCAGCGACTTAAGACATATTATACATTGAATGATCCAGATAAATCATGACAGATAAAATCAAGTCCCTCCCACATTATTCCACTCGTAAAAACTTCATTACATTATTGAAAATAAATGCATTGCTATATTGTTTATAAGTTCTCTCAAGGTTACTTTTATCAAACAAGTCTTTATAAATTAAGATAACATTTTTGGGTTGCTGTGTTTATTTTTTTGATTGAAAAAATCAATAATATTCGATGATTATTTTGCTCCAAATAGATTCACTCTTCAGACACAGCAGAGGTGTGGCTTCCGCAAGGTAGCGAAGAAGGTGGAGCCAAAGAAGGGTGTGGCAGAAGAGGCGGAGCAAAATGAAATCCTACACAAGAAGGGCGTGGCTCCTGCTCCAGACCCGCCCGCCCCACATGTACCCACCCGGTCATTTGGCAGACTGGTCAAACCATTTGTCTTCACCATAGGGGTAGGTATATTTTGCTTACACATGGCAGGCCACGTTCATGAAATATGCAGAAACACTTTCTGTGTAAATCCACATTTTTATATTATTATATTTAATTAAATTCAGTTCAGTGGCACAGTTAAAATATAAAGGGCCAGTTTTACTAAACAGGGCAAATTAGCGCAAGAGCGCAATTCCAAAAAGAGCACCGATGGGAAATTTCTGCAGGTGATTTACTAACAACGTGCAAATTAAAGAACTCTCATTTACATATCGACCAACGCAATATGCCAAGAGCAGCGCAAATAAGCGTAGTTGCAAATAAAGAATAAAGAAGCCACAGTACGTTGAAAAGAACTTGAGGCCAAAAAATGAAGGTTTGCTAGAAGTTTTGATAGACCTCCTAGTTGAGGGTTCGAAGTCGTCTTTTATTTCCTGAAGCAAATTAAAAAATAACATGGCTTGGCAAATGATATGTTTGGACAATGTGTAATTTAATCTGGATTGTGATCTGGTTTGTGCAGTTATTTAATCTGGATTCTATTCTGGTTTATGCCGTTATTTAATTATTCTGATCTGGTCTATGCAGTTATTTAAGCCGAATTCTGATCTGGTTTATGCAGTAATTTAATCTGGATTGTGATCTGGTTTGTGCAGTTATTTAATCTGAATTGTGATCTGGTTTGTGCAGTTATTTAATCTGGATTCTATTCTGGTTTATGCTGTTATATAATTATTCTGATCTGCTTTATGCAGTCATTTAATCTGAATTCTGATCTGGTTTATGCAGTAATTTAATCTGAATTATGATCTGGTTTGTGCAGTTATTTAATCTGGTTTATGCAGTTATTTAATTATTCTGATCTGCTTTATGCAGTAATTTAATCTGAATTCTGATCTGGTTTATGCAGTAATTTAATCTGAATTATGATCTGGTTTGTGCAGTTATTTAATCTGGTTTATGCAGTTATTTAATGATTCTGATCTGCTTTATGCAGTTATTTAATCCGAATTCTGATCTGGTTTATGCAGTAATTTAATCTGGATTGTGATCTGGTTTGTGCAGTTATTTAATCTGGATTCTATTCTGGTTTATGCCGTTATATAATGATTCTGATCTGCTTTATGCAGTTATTTCATCCGAATTCTGATCTGCTTTATGCAGTAATTTAATCTGAATTCTGATCTGCTTTATGCAGTAATTTAATCTGAATTGTGATCTGGTTTGTGCAGTTATTTAATCTGGATTCTATTCTGGTTTATGCATTTATTTAATGATTCTGATCTGCTTTATGCAGTTATTTAATCCAAATTCTGATCTGGTTTATGCAGTAATTTAATCTGGATTCTGATCTGACAATGTATTTTTCAATACAAATTAATACGTGTGTAATAATAAAAATCCTCTCCCTTCTACCATGCACTTTCTTTTCTCTGCGGTGCCTCCTCCTAGCAACAACAACTGCAGCCATTTCAAGCACAAAACAGTTTAAGAAATGCTTTATTTGAGCGTTAAATAATGGTGCAAATACCAGTAATTTGACAAGCGCAAACGTTAATAAAACGCGTTGCGTGATTCATTTTAATACTCTCCTCCAATAAATTTTGTGTCTGAAAGGAAAACTCCTAGAAATGCATATTCGGTAAGTTCAGGCACAAAAATAACAGCACAAATTCGTCACTGCGCGTCTTTAGTAAATATTGACAGTACTATTTTAACGCCAAAAGGCGATTTGCGCTGGGGCAAGCTTTTAGTAAAACTGGCCCAAAGGGTTTTATATGCAATTTTGCACATTCATTATATTTGTATTCATTGTATTTCATGAATAAAGTCCAGTGTGTGTGGATTATAATCTTTTAGAATATCGTAATAACTCCAGCTCAGTTTACAGGTTGTTCATTCGGCGGAGCGGCGATATGGCAGTACGAAAGTCTCAAATCTCGTGTACAGGGTTATTTTGACGATGTCAAAGCAGACTGGCTGGAGAAGATACGGCCTCAGAAACAAGGAGATTTACGCAAGCAGGTGTGTGTCTGTTTAATGGACATTTATGTTTTTCGATGTGTGTTTTTAACAGACGTCTGTTGTTCTGCAGGTGAATCAATGGTGGAACACTTTAAGTGATGGACAGAAAACAGTCACAGGTCAGTGTGAATGACACAAACCAAATATAGCCATCCATATTACACAGATGAGCAGTTTAGATTGTGGAGACAATGTATTTAGTGTAGTTTTATTAAATAAACAGATACTGTCCATCTATTTCTCTGTGCACTGTTCCATCTGAACAAATCTCTCTCTCTCTCAGGCATCATTGCAGCGAATGCGTTGGTGTTTTGTTGTTGGAGAGTTCCTTCTCTGCAGCGCTCCATGCTCAAGTACTTCACATCTAACCCCTCCTCCAGTGAGTCAACTCATCTGTTTCGCTTTCATAATGTGCTGCATCTGAATAACAAATCTCTTTCAAGGTCAGTCTTGTGTACATTGCCTCAAAATGAGGAATTTTGTGTTGGATTGAAAAGGTCTGATTTACACTTTTATTGTACAGTCTGGCATGTTTTCAGGTTTCTCTGGTATTGGAAAGAGTTTTGTCCTGGATTTTTATATAGATTCTCAAATTGATAATGATGAGTCATTTGCAAACTGAGTAAAAAATGAATGTAATATATTAATTTGCATTATGCACAAAATTTCTGGTAGCATAACTGGTAATACTACCGGTAATCAGAAACTGCAATTCAGAGTGTTATACTTTATACTTTAATTGAAGATAAAACATTTTTGTTATTTAAAATGAAGATGAAAAAAAAAAAGAGAGAGAGAAAATAAACTACTAACTTACTAACTCGAAAAAACTCAAATTTAATAAAAAAAAGAAAAGAAAATATTTTTAAAAACAAAAACTTATAAGAAAAATGACAAGAATACAACAACATAACATGAATTGGTTTATGCTGTAATTGGATCTGGATTCTGGTCGGGTTTTTTAGTACCGTATTGGCCCGAATATAAGACGACCCTGATTATAAGACAACCCCCCTTTTTCCAGATGTACCTTTTTAAAAAACAAATCTTGTTTTTTTTCTCAGTAAAACACATTTTGTCTTCAATTATTTTCATATTGCATATTTTTCCTATTTAAATTTTTGTTTTGAAAGTATGGTAAAAACTGGTAAAATGTACCAACAATCACATTTAAAAAATATACACTTTTTGATATACCATAAAAAAAAATAAACAGGTAGCCCATCTGAATTAGGACATTTAGGCTATCCATCTAATAGTAGCCCACCAAAATCTTATTAACAGTAGAAGTTAAATCTTACTGTAGTCTTCAAATCTGGGTACTGTCTTACGTTTTAAAATCACAAAGAGAGTTTGGTCCCATCAGGCTAACGTGACAGTCACGACTCATGCAGCTGTAAGCTTTTCTTTCTCTTTTGTTTTTACTCGCGGTCTTTACAACACGCATTACATTACGTATTTCATGGCACACTCGTTTTATGCGTATTTGGCGCCACCTATTGTTGTGGGTGTATTATTGACATGTCAAAGTCTAGACCCTGAATATAAAACGCCCGCGATTTTTCAGATGTATTTCCAAGAAAAAAACATCGTCTTATATTCGGGTCAATACGGTAATTTAATCCCTATTCTAATCTGGTTTATGCAGTAATTTAATCTGCATTCTGATCTGGTCTATGCAGTTATTTAATCCACATTCTGATATGGTTTCTAATATAATTTAATCTGCATTCTGATCTGGTTTATGCAGTAATTTAATCTGAATTGTGATCTGGTTTGTGCAGTTATTTAATCTGGATTCTAATCTGGTTTATGCATTTATTTAATATGGATTCTAATCTGGTTTATGCATTTATTTAATGATTCTGATCTGCTTTATGCAATAATTTAATCTGGATTCTGATCTGGTTTGTGCAGTTATTTAATCTGCATTCTGATCTGGTTTATGCAGTTATTTAATCTGAATTGTGATCTGGTTTGTGCAGTTATTTATTCTGGATTCTAATCTGGTTTATGCATTTATTTAATATGGATTCTAATCTGGTTTATGCATTTATTTAATGATTCTGATCTGCTTTATGCAGTAATTTAATCTGGATTCTAATCTGCTTTATGCAGTAATTCAATCTGCATTCTGATCTGGTTTGTGCATTTATTTAATCTGGATTCTAATCTGGTTTATGCATTTATTTAATGATTCTGATCTGCTTTATGCAGTTATTTAATCTGGATTCTAATCTGCTTTATGCAGTAATTCAATCTGCATTCTGATCTGGTTTATGCAGTAATTTAATCTG